ATATATTGACATCAATTTCATAAACTAATCTAGTCCTTCTATCTAATACATATTCACATTTTATATAGGTAGCTTAATCACAGCAAATCACAAGAAATTTAATAATTTTAACTTTGAATTCAGCATTCTGTGGACATTTTGAGCATTGCGCCATGCCAGGGGCAGCTCTTCCACATAGTTGGGGGCCATTGCTCTCCCCATAAGAAAATGATGGCACAGCGCAGAGTGGTTTCACTGCTGATCATGTGTGGGCAGCTTACTGAACTGAATTACTAAAATGTTGGTTTATTAAACTAGTAAATACTGTATTAGCTAAAGGCTACATGACAAAATGCAATTCTTGTGTAATTACGTCAAATTTGACATGCTGTTTTCATGGAAAATATACATTTATGTAGTATAATAATTAAAATCTTCTATTTTGGTTTCAAAAATGATGTAGTTAAAAATACAGCATTCTGGTTTTGTAGGTCAGAGTACATCAGTCTGGCACCATGAGCTGCAGCCTGTCACAGAAATGTCTGCCATAATAACAAATACATGTGTGGCTGACTGTATGTGCCTACACACACATACACACACACACGGACACTTCTACTATGTCTTGCCAGATCTTGGAGACGCAGACCTCTAATGTTGTGTGACTGCACTCCCCAGGGCTTCTTTCTGCTCTGCTGGATGAGCTCTGGCTGCCAGCATGGAGAGAAATCAGGGAATCCCTTCGTTCCCTGGCTTCTCTCCTCCTTTATTCACTCATCTATTCCCCCTCCAGCAGCCTTGTGTGTGTGAGCTGTATAAAAGCTTGGTTATCATTAGGGAGCCGTTCTCCCCGTGACAATGATAAAACAGCCTCAACTGATGCAGCATCTACTGCTTACAGGAGCCAAATGAACCAATTTAAGGAAGCGTCACTATGACAAATTACGTGGCGGCATGTTGTACGCAGCAAATACCCCCCCCAAGAAAAGCAGCTATGTAAAATTGGTGAGGGATTTGAAAATGTTTTTCTTTTTGGGAAAGCATATACTGTACAAACCTTCAAAAGGCTGCTCATTTTAATAGTATACATTCACTTACATGGCTTCGTAATGAACCCATGGATAATGTATGAACTCGTGTTATTTTAACTCATTAACACAACTGCTTTGTTTTAATTTACAGCTGTTTTTAGTCGTACTGTATATACACAGGCCTGATAGCTGATCGAAAACACTAGCTAAATGTTGTCTGTGGCTACTTTGTCGTAAGTAGTAAGTAAGTAGCCACTTATCCGCCAGTCTGACAGGTCTAGTAGCCGCTTTAATACGTTGAAGTGGCCTTTTTAGACTACATTGGCTCCTTGAACTGGCCAATTAAAATGTAACACTTGCTGCCAAATAACTGCAGTGAATAAGACTAAACCATGTAGGGGAATTAGTCCACTAGTCTCTAGTCCATGTTTTGACCTGAAATCAATCAAAAATGTTGAAATTTAGTGCTGAAACAAGTAGTATTTTTGGTAACTGAATAGTCATTTAGAGCAATAGATTATAAATATTTTGGGAAAAGCATCTTATTGGCTGTCGAGAGTTAAAGGAGAAGATTGATGCTGGACGAATATGAGAGAAGTAGCTGTCGTTTCATATAATTGTCTGCAACAAACAAAATAGCTATTCCTTTAGGTCATTTATCAACTGTTGCTGGATCTGACTCAAATGTGATGATTTGCTGCTTTTCTCTCATTTATATCAGCGTAAATAAAGCGTCTTTCATATTTAGTCTGCTGTTCAGATGAAACGTGCAATTGTAAGTGTAATACTACATTATTTTCTGACATTAAAGATGAACCATTAATTGATTTAGAGCTGAAAGGGCTAATTGATTAATCAAATTGTCAATCATAAGACAATAATCAATTCATCTTTCAGTTGTTTCCCTTGTTCCTCTAATAATCTAGCTTTTGAATGTTAGGATTTACTGCTTTTGTTTGTTTTATTTGATAGTAAACCATATATATTTCAGTTTGGGACGGTTGCGCGGACAACAATTGCTTGTTTAGCCTTGTGATTGTCTTTTTCGACTGTTTTCTGACATTTTATAGGCCAAACGATTAATCAAAAACATTATCAGAGTCATGGATGATGAGTTATAACCATTAGCTACAGCCTTAATTTGATTGAACAAATAAACTAGTGAGCCCTACAACCGTAATGAAATTTATACATCCTGCATGTATTCCAGACTCTAACCCTCCTATGAGGTCTTCTGGTTCCTGAATAGAGGCTTCAAATCCTGCTGCTGACAACATCTTCAAAAGAAGCTTCACATTTCTTTTATCCTAAACTGGATCTCACATCCCTGCTGTGAGAAGCATGCATCAAACACAAGCACAACACCAGCTAATCTGAGGCAATGAAGAATTGTAATGAGGAGTGTATACCGTACACGTCTCCAGACCTGGTGCACCTTCAGAAAACAGAGCGAGATATTCAGCCAGTCCTGCAGACATTAGGCAGCATCACTGTGAGTCTGCCACCTCACGTCTTCCCTGAGAAGTCGAGGGATATCCTGGTGACTCCACATGAAACCACCACAGACAGGGTCCTCATTAATCAACAACTGACGTTATAGGGCCATTAAGTTGATTTAAATCAAGTCACTCATACCCTCATGATCAATTGATCTAAACCACTGCCCACCATATCATGACATCATGGTGTGGGTCTCGAACCTCTCCGGACAGCAAGTTAATTAATGCAACACATTCTCAGCAGATTATGAAGTGAGTTGATTTGGCTGCAGGTTAATCTACCGTCGAAACCAGCGGGAGGCAACAAGAAACAAGAAAAGGAGCGTTTTGCTGCATTGCACCTGCCCAAACGCGCGTAACTTTAGGAAGTGGGGCTGTCTGGACCCGCTGGTCTGTGACTAATCATCCAAGGTCGTGGTCGTGATGGTGGATAGACAGCCCCCCTCCGCAAAACAAGGAAAAGAATCAAACAAAACAGCATTAAAACTGGAGACGAGCAGGCAGCGGCTGACTGTGCCATATGCCAGAGGAAACACGGCGGTGTTGGGTGTCCGGGTGTGTTGCCGGTTGACCTGAGGAGCGGCGGTGTCTTACCTGGTGGCTGTCGACGAACCGGCACGGGAGCACGACAGGCTGGGGGAGTCCGTCCCGGGATCAGTGACCGTACGTTAGTGCGTCGGTGCGCCTCGGCACCGTCTGAAGGCTCATATCCACAGCCAGGGTGTTCCCGACAAGGGGGGGCGTGGTGTGTATGTGAGAGAGAGAGAGAGAGAGAGAGGGGGGGGTCTATGTGCGCGCGCGTGTGTGTGTGTGTGTGTGTGTGCATGAGAGTGAGCGAGAGAAAGAGAGAGAGAGAGAGAGAGAGAGTGTATGTTTGTGCGTGTGTGTGAGAAAGTGTGCGTGTGCGTGTGTAAGAGTGTATGTTTGTGCGTGTGTGTGCGTGAGCGTCACGCAATCATCACAAATGGGATTATTCCTGACAATGCGACAGTTGTTTCTGCAAAAACTCAGACTCTGTTGTTTTAGGAAATACACTTAATGACCCAATTAAACTGGGCCATTTCGTGTATTTCCTAGAAATACACAATATACATTTAAGTATGTATATTTCTGTGCTCTAAATAGGTTCAAGGAAACTCCTTGCTGTCACCCGTGGTAAATTATGTATTATGGACTATTGCCCTGCTGAGACCCTTTGGAGTCCGAATTTCAGTGGTTATGGGCAGAGCTCTGCTGCAGAGTTGATTTAATAATGAACTACATGGGTTGGTCATAACTTGAATAAATAGAGCTGTGAAAAAAAGATGGACGGTAAAACGACCTTATTCCAGATGAACACAGCTTGTTAAAGCATTGAAAATAATCAGTTTATCTGTGCTTTTTTCAGTCAATCTCTACGTATTGATCTTTCATTGTGACCTCTTTGCTTTCTTTAATTTTCCACAACCAATTTATGTAATTTTCCGTGTTGCATGTTAATTACGTGGCAATAATGAATGAATATAATGATGTCCTGCATAACACATTTTATCTTCGTTAAAAGTATAATGTTTTATTTATATATTCTCTGGGGTTTGTCCAGAGATATGGATGATAAAACTGTATTTTAGGTATAACTCTTACAGCAGTCATTAATCCACTGTGCCCATGTTAAAAAACGAAGGAATACAATAAAATACATTTCTCATGAAATGAGATTACAAATTATATTCATGGATTCAATAATTAAAAGCTTTATTATTGTAATTAGGGTATACAATGCATGACTGCACAATGAACTGTTGGTTAGTCGTAGCCCCCTCACACAGAAAAAATATATAAATAAATATTCAAAATAATTTAATAATATACAATAAAATGGACAATGCTTTCAACAAGCTATATACAAGTTGCACTAAATGAAGAAACACTAAATTATATTTACAATATAATATTATATGTGCAAAATATGTCATAAATTTAAATGTGGTTCATCAAAAATGATATTAAACCATATTTCACGTGTTTTTAAAAATGTAAATACTGAGTAAATGATTTGCTGTGTAGCCTATGTATTAACAATATTAAAAAAGTATGTGAATTACCAAATATTAAGAACATGATTTTAAATCATGTGAATACAGTTTAATTCATTGCTGTCTAAACCGGATTTATTTTATAAACCTGACCTCCGGCTGCTCTGAACCTTCATCCTGATAAATGAAGACAGGTTTACAGTATTTCTTTTCAATGAATGAGACGCCCTCCAATGTTGAGGCTGGTCTGGTGTTGGAGTGTCTGACTTCCACCAAAGTGAGGCGACATTGTAAAAACAGTCACCAGCTTCAGGAGGAGCAGTGCTCCTTGACTCTGTAAAGCAGGAAGTAAACAGGAAGTAAACCGGAAGTAAACAGGAACAGCAACTGAGCCGGTGATAATAGAGAGAATACCTCTGTGTGAGTAACGATGGAGGAATACAACTCTGGAGATGAGGTAAACTTATTTTGAATACCGTTTAATTTAGCTATTTAAATCTCCGCCACTAAACACAAGAGAGACGCCTCGGATAGCTAACGTTAGCTAGACCAGCTAGCTGAATCAGTTAGCCGAAGCTAACGGTTGTTTCCATCGAGGTGTGGTCACTGTCAACATTTTTACATTTATAATGTAAACAGATATTATTAACATCAGAAAAAACAAGTTGTTATGATTTTACATAGATAATATATAAAGAAAAAAACACAACATAATGAAAATATTCCTACTTTTCTTGTTTTAATGAAAATATCGCATTATGTTGTTTAAAGTTACCTATTGGAAAACTCACTTAAGAAAACTTAGATTAGAAATATAAGATACACATATTTATTATTCATTAAAGTTATTGAAATTGACATACAAACATTTCTTCTTAGAATGAATGTACGTGATTTGCTTGATAATGACACAAATCTCGACTAGAGTTTTTTTTTTAAACTCCCCTTTGCATTTGGTTCACACCACACAACATTCATTTGGCAGTGACTTCTTATAAGTGCATTCAAACTCATTAATTGTTACACATGTATACTTGTTTATAATACTCCATTGGATAAGATCAGTATGAGAATAAATGACTTGCTGTTGACATGAATGTAAACTATGTGAAATCATTAAACTTTTAAAATACCACCTGCTGTGTCATGCACAGATTGACCATCATATAGAAAGATTCAGTCTATAGGGTGGTTTGAAATAAAACACCAACGATGCCACCAACTAACAAAGTTTTCCCTTCTTTTTGACGTTTGACAGCAGGCTGTCTTCAATGCTGATGAGGTCAATATCTCGGTTAAAGAGGTATATTTTCACATCTGGAAACATTGACACATATTCTATTGTGAATCAACTATTTAATGTGATGACAGTGTACATGACTCTCTCTCTCTCTCTCTCTCTCTCTCTCTCTCTCTCTCTCTCTCTC